TTGTTGTTTTATAATTGTTGTTTATAATTTGTACAATTAACCTCCTTGTGGTTCGACCCCCGTTTTACCGGGTTATTTATTACTTCGACACTCCTGCACTTGGGAGAAGACATCAACCTTTTAGTCGTGTCAAGAATCAAGGAAAAAAATAAAAATAATAATGAATAAATTAAAAAATATAATATTTTTATAAATTAGAATTAAAGTATGAAATTGACAATAAATAAAACTTCTACAAAAAAGTTAAGAAAAAAAACTAGAAATTAAAATAATAAAAATTAAAGTTGAAATACCAAAAAAAATAAAAATAAAAATATAATCTTAAAGGAGGAGAGAGAAAAAAAAACGAGGATATTTTAATTAAAGAGATATATTTTTTATTCTTATTTCAAATCATTTAATTACTTTTTATATTTATTCCAATTATTTTTAGTTTTTATTAACTAAACAACATACAACATAGCTTGATAAGCTATATTTTTTTTAGAAAAAGAAATTTGTTTAATAGAATTTAATTTATTAATTTTTTTATAAAAATAATTTTATTTTTATATAATTAAATAAAAAATTTAAAAAGATCTCCATGATACAACTTAATCTACAACTATCTTTCAATATCTTAATTAAGTTTTTAATTAGTTTTAACCTTTTTTTTAATATTTATTGGCTCTTGTAGTTTCTAATTTATATTATGAATAAATGAATCAAATTTTTAGTTCACAATTAAACTTTTTTTTTTAATGGTAGAAAACACATTAATAATATAGACATTTTTTTTGTGCATTAAAAAAAACTTTTGATCCAATCTAAAGTGGAACACAGGTAACTTGGGCATATAAGCAACTAAGATATAATCTTGTTCAAAGAATAAACTAATTTAAATGATAATTAAGTAAACATACTTGCACTGTAATTTTGGTTATTGAAAGAAAAAGGAAAAGGAAAAAGAAAAAGGCAAATTTCACAAACATCCCTAACATATTCTTTGTTTAAATTGGATCCCCGATTTATCAATGAATTCCCAATAGGTACTCCATTAGTTCTAATTAATGAAGATGTCAAGAAATCACGTGCAGCTCACATGATTGCTATTTTTTCTAAGAAAAAAACCCACATTCAAGGAATATATTAAGGAACTCGATTGCTTTTCAAGGATACAAACCGCTAAGAGGGAAAACTTTGATAACAAAGGGTGGTTATTCTACAGCAACCAATTTTAACAAAGAAAAAATAAAAAAAATTTAAAGAAATATCTCGAACTAATTAAATTTTAAATTTATTAATAATTACAAGTTTGAGTTATTTTAAAATTATTAAAAATTTATATAATTATTAATTTTAAAATTTATAAAATTAATTACGATATTGACATTTATATTAATAA